GAGATCACGTAAACAATACAGTATTCAAAATGTTCAATCTTAAACTTTATTTAGGTTAGGTGGAAAAAAGCATTATCAATTTGAAAACTACATATATTTAGTTAAAATTAACATTTTACAGTGATCTTAAAGGTGTGTTATTGTAGTAGTCAACATTACCCACTACCCCTTCACGTACATGACAACATATTTTTACGGTCCCTTGCCAGCTAGAACACTACTGTTCTATGTACACTAATATGTAGGGGGAGATCTAACACATAATTCAAGCTGATCACAAACTAGGACACTAGTTCTGTGTCTTGTATAGCAGGGAATGCCAAATTTTTTTCAACCCAAGCCCCTCCCAAAACATTCTGCATTCTGACAGAGTATCTTAACAGTATTTTGTGTATTGGCTACGGCCCCCAGTTTGAGAACTCCTGTTGTAAAGTATATTAAAGATCACTGGGAGAAGTTTTAAATGATGATCATAGCCATCCCTAGCTAGGACACTATATTTCTATCTTGTAAGTTGCTACAGTATATTAATAATTCCATTGGAAATATGTAGAACACAATTTAAGATTTTTATTCTAAAGTTCACAATTAAGTAGACTTGGAACTGGTGCAGTGGTATCAGTAACCATAACACCTGCTCTGTATGCATTTTTCATTCCTTTATCAGTCAACGTTTAAAGGTACTTGTAGTACAATTAACCTGTTGTCATGTACATGTTAATCACCACACACAAGGAAGATTGGCCATACTTATAGTCTGGTTAATGATATATAGTAGAATATTATAATCATGAACAAGACCATATTGTAGATTAATGATTATGAGTCATTTACAACTATATATATTCAGAGGAATCTGATACTCTGTGTGCTTCGAAGGAAGAGATGAATGACTTATTTTCATCAGCTCTCTGGTTATCAAGTTTTATAATTTATTTACTCACCAATATGTTACTTCAGAATTAACTATTGTTGTAGGAGACCAGTATCACACAAATGTCGATCTTCAAGTCTGGTAAATAAATCATTGTATACCCAATAACACACGCTTTGTATTTGTAACTTTACATTGTATTACTGAAATCATTAGTCCTAAGAAACAGTTGGTTCCCACCCACAGAAACTTATAACTTTGTGAAGCCCGTTTGTTACTAAAGTCCAGTTAAACCTCATCAACAGTCCTCCTTTTCACATTTTCTGTTATATTAGGCCTAATGAATAACCAGTTTCACACCCAGATCAAAGCAATCATCATCCACATTATTAATACTAAAATAACAAACAACAATTTAATACTGAACTGAGAAATGAGGTTTTTAATGTTCAGCCTCCTTGATTTTTTCGATTTCCAGCTTCTAGTTTTAATGTCTTTTTACTGTTCTCAACAAAACCTAAAAGTAAAAAAAAAGATACGAGTATGAGATGCATTCACTGTTCATAAAACCTTTCATGAGCTCTTTACAAATGTACATTTAAGTATGGATGAGACTATTTACTTACCATTAGACTTTGACCCATATAAAAAGGTTTATTTATTCCATCATTCCTCTCACAGTCTTCACAGAAGCACAGAAACAGTGTGTCAATAGCCATCTTTAATATATAACAGAAGAAAATAGGGTCAGAATGCATATAATAAAATTATATCATTGTAATAGATTTAGCTGTTAAAAGGTGCCTTACTAGCAAACAGGGGGGAGGGGCTGGTCCTTTAGGTCAATTAGTAGAGCACTTGCCTTGTGTGTGAGAGGTTTCAAGTTCGAATTCAAAACGTGGAAGTACATTGTGAAAAATTACAAAAATGCCATATTAACACTCAACTAGGAGACAAATGTATTAGTTATATTAACACCCAACTAGGAGAGAAATGTATTAGTTATATTAACACCCAACTGGGAGAGAAATGTATTAGTTACATTAACACCCAACTAGGAGACAAATGTATTAGTTATATTAACACCCAACTAGGAGACAAATGTATTAGTTATATTAAACCCAACTAGGAGACAAATGTATTAGTTATATTAACACCCAACTAGGAGACAAATGTATTAGTTACTAGGAGAGAAATGTATTAGTTTGAGTTATTAAAAAGTTCCAGGGGGCTAGCACTTTAGCTTGGTTAGTAGAGCACTTGCTTGGCGTACAAGAGGTCTCAGGTTCATAGTATAGCTAGACGATGAAATAAATATTGTGAAAAAACAATAAAACTCATTGGCATCCAATGAGGAGCCATCCTGAAGTTAAGCCTGAGATGGGAAGAATATATTAGTCTGAGTTGTTACTAGCAACAAACCCCTTTTAGCTTAGTTGGTGGAGAGCTTGTTTTGTATATGAGAGGTCCCAACTACAAATCCTAGGTGAGGAAATACCTCCTAATCTCAGATGTAGCTTTAAGAGAACCAATATTGTATGTTGTTTTAAAATCTTAATAATCTTCACATGATACATGAAAGTGTTTAAAACCTTCTGTAAGCAAAGCCAAGCCTAATAATACTTTTTGACTGTACGATTGAAAAACAGTCTAAACAGTAACATGTGTCTTAGTAATGTATCTACACTGTTGAATGGGTTTTTGTTAGTCACAAGACATGGTTAGGGAGAATTGTGGAAAATGAATCATACGACTGGAGTTGAAGTCAACAACTACTGTTTGTGTATTGCTTTATTGTTATTTCATTAACATTATTGATTAGACTGTTTAATATATCTAATTTCATTACTTTTTGATGTTATTTTTTATTATTATACTTTTATAATAGAGGTTCATTTGTTAATCTAATATATGCATTTAGGACTAACCTAAATCTCCTAAGTTTGACAAACCTTTTGCAATATTATTAGGATTAAAATATTATCAACACTGAGGGGTACTCGACTGATGAAACAATTCATTCTATTCATTCTAAGTAGGAACATAAGAAAGGCATATTTAATTAACCAGGTTGATTATTTAATTTCACTATCAACTTTTAAGATGTTTTAACCTATGTGATTATATTACAGTATGCGGTTAGGATTCGGTCATCTATTTTATATCAAAGGATATATAATATTCATTTAGTTAGTTTAAATGATTTAAATCTTCTTACCTCATACACTCCAAGAAAACAATGAGAAACCAAAAAAGCAAAAATGTAAGCAATGGTGACAGGAACCCATGTGTAATTAACTCCTTCTTTGTCCTGGAATACAAATATAAAGTTATTTATTTAATTCCGGTACCCGCTGATCATTAAATAAGGTAACAAAACATCTACAACTGAATAGGAAAGTAACAGGTGATGTTATCAAGTGACATATGAGGCTTGTAGTTTGTCAGGAAAAGAAAGAAACACAGACACCTGTAATATTATCTACAGCACAATGATTGCCTGTCTAGATTTTGACATAGGATTTTTGAGATTTTTATATTTTCTCCTGGATATCAAGATAAGTATAAAATTTACCTTTATAAGTTCTAGTCCAATAAATGCTGTAGCCATGGTAACGCCAGCTTTTCCAAGCAGCAACACAAAATCTCCAACAGAATTTATTGCTGCAACCCGAAGAATATTGTTTGACAACAAGTAAAAAGCCTTCTGTGCTGCCTTGCAGAATGAATATCCATAGATTGCTAGAAAATGTAGAATGAAGGATTTATGCTGTAGAAGGATAACATGATAAATGAATATTGCTACTCTGATAGATAACATGATACTAATTACCAGGCCAGTTGAACTGGGTCAGAATTACTTATTTCATGGTACTAATTACTAGGCCAATTGAACTGGGTCAGAATTACTTATTTCATGGTACTAATTACCAGGCCAATTGAACTGGGTCAGAATTACTTATTTCATGATACTAATTACTAGACTGGTGGACCTGGATCAGAATTACTTATTTCATGGTACTAATTACCAGGCCATTTGACCTGGATCAGAATTGTTTATTTCATGATACTAATTACTAGGCTGGTGGACCTGGATCAGAATTACTTATTTCATGATACTAATTACTAGGCTGGTTGACCTGGATCAGAATTACTCTTTTCATGATACTAATTACTAGGCTGGTGGACCTGGATCAGGATTACTCTTTTCATGATACTAATTACTAGGCTGGTGGACCTGGATCAGGATTACTCATTTCATGATACTAATTACTAGGCTGGTTGACCTGGATCAGAATTACTTATTTCATGATACTAATTACTAGGCTGGTGGACCTGGATCAGAATTACTTATTTCATGATACTAATTACCAGGCCAGTTGACCTGGATCAGAATTACTTATTTCATGATACTAATTACCAGGCCAGTTGACCTGGGTCAGAATTACTTATTTCATGATACTAATTACCAGGCCAATTGAACTGGGTCAGAATTACTTATTTCATGATACTAATTACCAGGCCAATTGAACTGGATCAGAATTACTTATTTCATGATACTAATTACCAGGCCAATTGAACTGGGTCAGAATTACTTATTTCATGATACTAATTACTAGGCTGGTTGACCTGGATCAGAATTACTTATTTCATGATACTAATTACCAGGCTGGTTGACCTGGATCAGAATTATTTATTTCATGATACTAATTACTAGGCTGGTTGACCTGGATCAGAATTATTTATTTCATGATACTAATTACCACTCTTGTTTGCCCCAGTCAAAATCACCTATTTTATGAAAAGAATCAATATTCTGGCTGATATTTTATTCAGAATTAAATTCATGAAGTAAGACTCAACCTATTTCATAAAAGCAATTAAAAGCCATATTGGCCAGGTCAGAATCGCTGATTGTATGAAACTAACAACCAACATAGGTGATTGACCTTTCTTGGTATTACTCAGACCATAAAACCAAATAGAAGTGTAGATGACCTACATTATAACAGCTTGTTTTGTCAGACGTACTTATATTAAATCAGTTACATTATCAGCCTTACTGATCTAACCCAGAATAACTCATTTCATACAATAAATTTATCTTACATTCTGTAAGAACTTTTTTGAAAGTAATGATAGTCATCTCTATAACTAATCATTTATGACCAATAAACGTAAGCTACTGGTTACAGAAAACAGAATCCAGAGGGCAATGCTTACCAATCTCAATAAATGCATTTCGGTTCAAAAATACCAAGAACTTGTCGAAACACCAGAGACAACAACTACAGCATCTTACAAGTGTAGTACACCAGGTTGGATGGTCTTTTATTCTGAAGATGATAATTTCAACAATAAAATGAAAATATTCTGTAATAATTATTTTGAAAAAAAACACATTTTTAATTGATGATAGTAAAATCAACATGTAGGATATCAAATACATTTGGTGTACCAAATTCAAATGAACCCTAGTGCATTTGACAGGTGAATATGCCTTCCTTTACCCTAGAAGGAAGAAGAGTGTACCTGTTGAAAGTTCTAGGGTTTCAAGAGTTTCTTTGAATTTGAATTGCGATACTTAAGCTGGAATTCTAATGTATTAATCAGAATAAGAATATCTGAAGAGTAGCACAGAGAACCATAAAAAAATTCTTAAAGATATTGAAATTAACACAAAAGTTTAAATGCTTTTGGAGAGGAACTTTCCTGCTCCTGAAAACGAAGGGCCTGGCATAGTCTGATGGTTAGGGTGCTTGACTCCCAGTGTGCAAGTAATGGAATTGAAACCCAGCAGGCCTGGCATAGTCTGATGGTTAGGGTGCTTCACTCCCAGTGTGCAAATAATGGAATTGAAACCCAGCAGGCCTGGCATAGTCTGATGGTTAGGGTGCTTGACTCCCAGTGTGCAAGTAATGGAATTGAAACCCAGCAGGCCTGGCATAGTCTGATAGTTAGGGTGCTTGACTCCCAGTGTGCAAGTAATGGAATTGAAACCCAGCAGGCCTGGCATAGTCTGATGGTTAGGGTGCTTGACTCCCAGTGTGCAAGTAATGGAATTGAAACCCAGCATCAAACATATTTGGTCTTTCAGCCATGGGGAGCAATATCAAGTTATAATAAATCCCACTATTTGTAGGTAAAGAATAGCACAGTTGGTGGTGCTGACTAGTTGATTTCCCTCTTAGTCTATCACTTCAAAATTAGGGACTTTTAGTGCAGAAAGTCTTAAAGTAACTTTGCACAAAATTCAGCAAACCTGAACAAGAAGAGTCCCCACTTTGAAAGTACTCAAGCTTCGGGATCGACTTCTGTATCTGTAACACTTGATAACCCAAACACTTTCCGAAATTACACCTTTCTTCTTCTGGGAGTGAATTAACCCCTGAAGAACAAAGAATATAACCCCAATTTTCCTTTTTTAGACACGGTAGTAACCATAAGTAATAGAAGATGAATTCTGGTTTATTTGCACATTATGACAGCTTCATTAGAGTTGCAGTATAAATTTAATTTGATACATATATTAATACCTAGACTTACTTACTTCTGATACTATACATTTGACAGCAAAGTTCACATACGTATCCTTAATCAAGGGATACCTGAGAAATAATACTTTTTTTTTAAATTAAAAACACATTATTCAGTTTATATCTAAAAATTTATAATTCTGAGTTAAATAATAATTAGTGATTATTTGGAGCCATTTTCAGTTATTGAAGATTGAGGACTGATCAGCTTACAAAATTTAAAAAAAATAACTTGTTGTCTATTGAGCTTCTTTACAATCAAGGAATGTTACTGTCATTCCAGCTTCATCAGAACAGTTTTTAAATAAAACACACTCACTTTTGTTCCAGCTTGTTGAATAAGGCACGGATTAGCTTAAGTAATGCCACAAGAAATGAGCCTAAAGCCACAGAACCCAGATGGTATCGTACCAAATTGTAGAAACTTGTGGCAATTGGTGTCCCAAGTTTTGATTTGTCCCTAAAAATAATAGAGACATAAACACTAATTCATTACATTATGGTACAGTTTGTGCTTTTAGAGAACTATCTGTATTTATAAATAATATTTAAGTTACACGCTAGTATAAAAATAGCATTAAAAATATTTAGGCTTTGCTTGAAGAAACAAAGGTATTACAAAGTTTAGGTGTACGTTATTCAAGGTCAGTTCTGAAACACTAATTTTATATGTTTAGTAAGTGTTCATTACTTGAAGCTTAAGCTTAATTCTTTCATTATAATATATGTCATTTGTATTCTGCAGCAAAATAAAACAAAACTTGTTTCTTTATTGAAGTAATTAAAACTTTATGAAAAATGAGTTGTAAGAAAAAAAAATTTAATTTGGCATGAGCAGATAAAATACAACAAAATATTATTTCTCAGCTGATACTCTCTACATATTAACTATCCTGTAAGGTTTTCCGTTATCACACTGTGAACAAGTTATATTAAAAACAATGAAAAAAAAGGTAAAGTTTATGAGTTAACTTGGTTTTCAATTTGTTTTTAGTGTTAACATTAAACAAACCTTGTGAAAAACCAGGAGGCGACAGCACCTGCAATAACAACATGCTGACAAGCAATGATGAACTGAGTAAACCAGAACAATGCCAAAAGGTGGTACCACTTCATTAGCTATGGAAGAAAAGTGTACATAATGCTGTTACTGTTCTTTTACTATCATACATATAGGCTCAAATATAGCTGAAACAATATGTGCCAATAAACTGTCCTTATAAATAAAATACACTATCTGAAATGTTAGAAAATTGTCTTCAAATCAAAACAAGTATCAATAAACTGTTTTGTAATTTTAAACATACAGTGTCGAGTATTGTATGTCGGAAATATAAAACGCAAGGGGGTATCTAAATACATTTTCCACAAGAACTCAAACTGTACACTTATTTTTTTAGGGCTATATGTGTTACATTTGATGACTTTTTACTAATGTTCTAGATAATGTAATTGTATGTGGGGTGTATGAACATACCAGGAATTTTTATTTTCTTGTGAAATCAAAATTTTTTATTCTAACCCTTTTCTTTTTCTTTATATCTGCTAGTTTCATATAACACTTGATCAAGATAGCTGTTAAGAGTTGATTTTGTTCTAGCTGTCCTTGCTCCTTTGTTATTCTCAAGTGGATATCACCTATTCTGCCTGAGGAGGATACTGCTGTAATACTGCACATTGTACAAGGATGTCAACAGCAGTATCTCTCCATGATTCTTGGATATCTAAAGATTATAGCCTCACCCATGTTGATGGTATGAGAATGACCATGAATGTGGGTAGCGCTAGTCACTCTGGGTAAATGTGGTTTCTTCTGAACTAAGGAATGTCTGGAACAGAATCTTGAAGGAGAAGTTGAGAGAATCCAAAAGAAGTGATAGTCTGTCATACCATAAAGCTAGTGCACACACTATGTTTAACATTGCAATAAAGATTTATCATTTTGCATTTCATTTTGTGTTCAGTCTCATTATTCCATTTAATATCACAACTCAGGTACAAGAGATCTAACATTACTTTGCGATTGATTTCTCAGTGGTTAACTCAGTTTAACCCAAAGCTACCACATATGTATTGTTTTGAGGTCAGTAACTGTTACAAGTGTAACAGCTGAATGGGGTGAGGATAATAGTCCTTGAATTGTTCAGTCATTGCAGTAGACTTATAACTGTGACTTTGAAAATTGATGATCTATATATAAGCACTGTATTTCTACAAAACACAATAAAGACACTAAAAATAACATTATTATTTGGAATTTTCTTCACACAACAAAATACTGTTGTCTATAAATCCACTTAAATGCTTATATAAATTAATTAATTTTTCAGCTCCTTTTTGTAAATTAACAGAAAACTTTTAACATGAATTTTGATGTGAAATAATTATTTCTTGCACACAAAATAGAAGGAAAAAAAACATCTCTGATAAATACTTTTTAATGACACATACAAAAACTCTTCTGTTTATATTACAGCGAGTATCCTAATTACAAATAAAAGCTATTTCAAGCAAAAGCATGCATCTACTCACCTGAAAAAAAGTGCTCAGATGAAATGTGACGTAATTAGTTTTGGGGTCAACTATGATGTCTTCTGCAGTGTGTATATACAGATAACTCACAAACCAGCTCATAACAATCCCAGCCAAAGCAATAAATGTCTTAGAGAAGTTTAAAAGATGGTTGTAAAAAGTATTTAAAAAATTATCACATTAAGATAAAATTCGGTTTTGTCTAATTCTTCACATCATATTTAATTTTTAAGAATAAAATATAAAAGTTATGATCCAAAATATTGAAAAATAAAAAACTAACCATTTACAAAGGTAGAAATATACAGAAAACACACAGATCAAACTATAAGACTGGTACTACTATATTAAATGGAAATATACAGAAAACACACAGTTTAAACTGGAAGACTGCTACTAATATATTACATGGAAATATACAGAAAACACACAGTTTAAACTGGAAGACTGCTACTAATATATTACATGGAAGTATACAGAAAACACACAGTTTAAACTGGAAGTCTGCTACTAATATATTACATGGAAGTATACA